CAGCTGTTCGAGTCTGTTCTTTCTCACTCCCTTGCGCTAAAGCCCAACTGCCTACGGTAGCTTCCCACTCTCTTTTTCTTGACCACTTCCGCTCTCATTCTCATGCCATCGCAGTGTACACAGATGGCTCTAAGTCTTCTGATGGCGTCGGATTTGCAGCACTGTTTCTGGACAGTGTCGGCTGAGGATATTTACTGTCCTCGGCTAGCATTTTTAAAGCTAAATTGTATGCCATTCTTGCAGCACTTATCCATATTGCATCTATGCCTGTGTCATCATTTGTGGTTGTCTCAGACTCCCTTACTGTTCTACAGGCTATACAAAAATTTGATACACCTCACCCCCTAGTTCTCCGTATCCAACTTTGGCTACGCTGTATCTCTACCAAGCATAAAGGTATTGTTTTTTGTTGGGTCCCTGGTCATGTTGACGTATAGGGCAATGAACAGGAAGACACTGCTGCGCGGTCAGCAGTACATGACCTACCAGTTTCATATAAAGGTGTTCCATTTACGGACTATTTTGCTGTAATAGCTACCCACCTTCACACCCGTTGGCCTAATTACTTGGTAACAAACTTCATTCTATTAAACCGAGTATAGGTTACTGGCCGTCTTCTTGTCATCAGTGTCGGGGTTGGGAGACTTCTCTCTCCTGTCTTCGCATTGGCCACACTCGTCTTACTCATGGGTATCTCATGGAGAGGCACCCTGTTCTTCTCTGTGAGAAGTGTCGTTTTCCAGTATCGGTTAGCCACATTCTGTTAGACTGCCCTCTCTATCAACGAGCATGCAGAATTTACCTCCAACGTCGTCTCTGCTCTACTACTCTCACTTTACCTTCCCTTCTTGCTGATGGACCCTCCTTTAATCATGACTCTCTCATTGACTTCTTGACAGCAACTGACTTACTCCACAAACTCTGATGATACCTTTTGCACTCCCCTCAGCCCTTTCTACCTCAATCTCTTGCTACCCTCTACCCCTGCACTATTCACTGCCCCGCTGTTCTCCGTAACCTACTAATCGTCCCTCTCCCTTTTGCCACCTGATAACCTCACTTCCTTCCTGCCCTGCAGCGCTGTATAGACCTTGTGGTTTAGCACTTCTTTTTTATTGTAATAATAATAATCTAGTTCAGCTAATTAGTTTTCCTGACTCCTTTCATAAATTTTACCTTGCTCCTGCTCCAACACCACATCAAGTCATAAAAACCACTTGCTTCCACCCCTATCTATCACACACTTGCTAGACATCCAAGCCCCTCACATACTAAACCTCCTTTACCCCCTTTCTCCATCCTTTCTGAGAGCAACCCCTTCTACTGATTTATGTATCCTCCAAGTTATCCTATTTTGCTCCATCCTCTATAAATGTCCAAACCACCTCAACAACCCCTCAGCCCTCGGATAATACTTTTAGTAACCCTGCATCTCCTCCTAATCTCCAAACTATAAATTCTCTGCATAATATTCACATCACACATTGCCCTTAGACATGACATCTCCACTGCCTCCAGCTTCCTCCTGCAATATTCACAGCCCATACTTCACTTCCATGTAGGAGTGTGGTATCACTATACTTTCATACAGTCCCCATTTTGCATCCATAGATAATGTTCTTTGTCTCCACAAAGGCCTCAATGTACCCTTACCTTTTCCACTCTCATCACTTCTGTGATTCACCTCGCCTTTCACAGACCCATCCGCCGACAAGCCCACTCCCAAATATCTGAACACATTCACATCCTCCATACTTCATCCAATGTGATACCTAATTTACCTGGAGACCTGGAGAGAGTTCCGGGGGTCAACGGCCCCGTGGCCCAGTCTGTGACCAGGCCTCCTGGTGGATCAGAGCCTGATCAACCTGATCAAGCCTGATCTTTCATTACCTAAATTTTTTTGTTGCTCTCCTCACCTTACTCTTTCCTGTGCTTACTCTCAATTTTCACTTTGTATTATATTCTATTTATTTTAATTCACACCTCTCTCCAACACCCTAGCATTCACTTCTTTTACAACCCCATCTATATATACAGTGGAACCTCGGACGTCAAATTTAATTTGTTCTGGATATCAATTCGACTACCAAAATGGACGACAACCAAAGAAATTTTTTCCATAAATAAATTAAACAGAATTAATCCGTTCCAGACCCCCAAATGACATTGTAATAATTTATTAAAAATGTGCTAACTACTACATAAAACTGTAAAAATGAACATTAAAGAAACTTGCACTTCACGCCATTTAGCACACATTTCCTTGACAAGTGTAAGGGGCACATCATTCCTTCCCTCTTCCTCTGATGACAGTTCCTCTGCTGCAATCTGTGCTGCTCCTTCTGAAGGCTTACAAGTTCTTGTGTGGTGAGTTCAGTTCTATGCTCCTCTACCAACTCCTCCACATCATCTTTGGTCACCTCTAGGCCCAAGGTCTTCCCCAGGAGCACAATATCCTCTACCAGCTCAGGCTCATCTTCAAAGCCTTCAAAATCCCTTGATGCCACAAAGGCCACAATTTCTTCCATGCTGACTGCATGGTCCTGGAAGACATTACCCCAGGCTTTGTCTATAAACCTTAAGCAGGTGAGGATATTGAAATGGTCCTTCTAGAATTCCCTGAAGATTAAATTTGTTTCTGAAGTGATTTCAAAGCACCTTTCAAAAAGTGCTTTAGTGTCGAGTTTCTTGAAGTTAGAAATGACCTGCTGGTCCATGGGCTGAATGAGAGGAGTGGTGTTAGGAGGCAAGAACTTCACAGTTAGAAAACTGAACTCCTCCAGCAACTTATTTTCCAAGCTTGGAGGATGAGCAGGAGCATTATCCATAAGTAAAAGGGCCCCGAGTGGCAATTTTTTTTTTAACGAGGTATTTTGACAGTGGGGAGCAAAGACCTCATGAACCCACTCAATAAAAAATTGTCTTGTTACCCAAGCTTTTGTGTTGGTCCTCCACATTACATCCAGTTTGTTTTTCATAACATTGTTCTTCTTAAAAACTTGTGGATTTTTGGATTAAAAAGCAAAGGCTTCAGTTTCAAGTCCCAACTTGCATTACCACTCAGTAACAGAGTGAGCTTATCTCATGATAAAAAAGTAACATTGGCTTATCTCACAATAAAAAAAATTGCACTAAAACGGCAAAATAACATAAAGTTCAGGATGCACTGCTATAGGTCAAGAGATGTTAGTGGCTGTACTGACTCAGACCCACACTGTTGACTCGTTGTCCAGTGCGCATTTTGTGAGCATGTGACCTAAGCCATTCGCGTTGTTGGTTGACAACCAGGACATTTTTTTTTTCTCAAATTCCTCGTTTGAGAACCAATTTGTTCGATTAGTAATGCAGTCGACAACAGAGGTTTCACTGTCTAAGGCTTACTTGTAATGGAAAAAATCCCTCCTATATACCTTAACCTGAGCCTCATTTATATTATTTATTAACACATCGGCTGATTCCCACCAAGGCAGGGTGGCCCGAAAAAGAAAAGCATTCATTATCATTCACTCCATCACTGTCTTGCCAGAGGGGTGCTTTACACTACAGTTATGAAACGGCAACATTAACACCCCTCCTTCAGAGTGTAGACACTGTACTTCCTGTCTCCAGGACTCAAGTTCGGCCTGCCGGTTTCCCTGAATCCCTTCATAAATGTTGTTTGGCTCACACTCCAACAGCACATCAAGTATTAAAAACCATTTGTCTCCATTCACTCCTGTCAAATACGCTCACACACACTTGCTGGAAGTCCAATCCCCTCGCACACAAAATCTCTACCCCCTCCCTCCAACCCTTTCTAGGCCGACCCCTACCCCGCCTTCCCTCCACTTCAGATTTATACATTCTCTCTACATGTCCAAACCACCTCAACAACCCCTCCTCAGCCCTCTGGATAATAGTTTTGGTAATCCCACACCTTCTAATTTCCAAACTACAAATTCTCTGCATTATATTCACACCACACATTGCTCTCAGACATGACATCTCCACTGCCTCCAGCCTTCTCCTTGTTGCAACATTAATTATCCATGCTTCACACCCATACAAGAGTGTTGGTACAACTATACTTTCATACATTCCCCTCTTTGCTTCCTCGGACAAAGTTCTTAGTCTCCACAGAATCCTAAGTTCACCACTCGCCCTTTTCCCCTCATCAATTCTATGATTCACCTCATCCTTCATAGACCCATCTGCTGACTCGTCCACTCCTAAATATCTGAATACATTCACCTCTTCCATGCTCTCTCCCTCCAATTTTATATCCAATCTTTTGCCACCTAATCTTTTTGTTATCCTCATAACCTTACTTTTTCCTGTATTCACTTTTAATTTTCTTCTTAAATACCCTACCAAATTATCCTTATTTTCCTCATAAAAACTCTTAACTGCCTTCCGTAACCTACCAACTGTTCCATGCACTTTCAACATCTGCCACATTGCTTCCCTGTGCACTCTATCATATACCTTTTCTAAATCCATAAATGCAGCAAAAACTTCTCTAGACTTATCTAAATACTGTCAGTGTAAACACTTGGTCTATACATCCCCTACCCTTACAGAAGCCTTGTTCACTCCTGTCTTGCCATTAATTCTTGTAATAGTAACTCTACTTAGCAGGTTTTTCTCTATAATTCTTGCTCTCTTTTGTCTCTTTCCTTTATACAAAGGAACTATACATGTGCACCTGCAGGCCATGAGCAGCAACAGCCTGGTTGACCAGGCAAGCACCAGACAAGCCTGGTCCATTGCTAGGCTCCACGAGTAGAAAAACTCCCAGCACTAATCTAAGATATGCTCTCTGCCCATCCCGAAGTACCTTACTCTCTTTTATCCATTTACTGAATAGAAGCACCAACCATTCCAAAACTTGTGTGGTGTGAATATCGTGCAGAGTTTGGAGGTAGCACTTAAAGCCCACTTATGGGTGAAACTTTGTACTAATAAAGATTTCAGTGCATTTTCTTCTTACCATGTATAATTTTGTTTATTTTTTACAGACTGATAGCTTCCAAGTTCAATTTGGCACTGACTAAGATGTCCAGTGACATCAAACAATACTTATCACTGTGGGTTGTTTGTGATGGCAAAGATTCTCAGGTAATTATGTATGTTCTTAACCTTCTTTGTTTGTCTTAAATTTTACTTCACTTTTGCACAATTTTGTTGGTGGTGAAGGGCTTTTTGTTGAAGGAATTGGAGCTAGCCTTTTCTTGTTTGCCTTTGATCAAATCTGAATGCCTCCTTTTATTAAGGTGCTATATGACCTCTGTGTTCCCCATAAATGTATTAATGATGTTAGCCTGTAGGTGTTCTATATGGTCATTGTGTGTGTGTGTATTTTCTACTCGCTTGTGATGGAAATTGAGATACATATTTGAGTGAATTTTTTTTTTTTCAGGGAATGTACTTCCTCGGATTTCAACGTAATGGAGACAAAATGACTCGCACAATAGTTACAGCATCAGGGCCATACCAAGGTTCAGAAAATTTACCATCCTTAGATCATATGAAGATGCACCACACAGCAATTGGTCCAACAAAGAGGGTAAAATAATCTCTCTAAAAGTGACTAATACAAATAATTTAGAGTTGCTATACTCATTTGTTCCATGTTTTGCTATGAAGATGGTCCAAACAGTAATTATCTAATGCAGAATGATGCATGCAGTAAATTACCTACTTAGTGACAAGGATGTGGTTTAGAGAAAAATGGAGGCAGTGAGAAATTTACTCTTTATTATATTAGAGATGAATTCCAGGGAAAGAGGGGAAGGAAAATGTGTAATTTTCTACTAGCATGGCATCGGTGAGAATGACGTGAAGACCAGTTGGATGAAATTGCATAAGAGGACCCCTTGACTTTGGTTTCATTAAGTAGCTTTAGCCTGTTTATCTCTGGTTTAGCCTGCATAATTTATAATACAGGAGGGCCCCTCTTCACAGTGCTTTGCTTTATGGTGATTCAAAAATAAGGACATTTCAAATTACAATCAAAGATTCATTTATATGGCTCCCTGATTCGCTATTACTGCATTTGCGTTCCACTCTTTACATTCTCCACGAACTCCTTGTCATCTCTTGATTGTGTCTGGAAACTTTCCAGAATTTCAAGTGTTTTAAAGTTATTGCACATATTATATACAGTTGACGTGTATTGGATGTGTGGTGTGATTTGCTTACTCTTAAACATTGGCAAAAATCAAACATTTCTGTTACTTTGAGCTCAATTTCAAGGTCATTTTCATAGAGAAAGTAATCAAAATCATCTCTATTTCTGTAATATGTTTTCCATTTTATCATGTGAGACCATGAAAACAAGAATACAACGATAAATACTATACGGATACGAAAATACACCTCAAAGTCGGCATTTTAATACAAAAAAAATGGTCAGTTTTTTTTTTTCTTGTGCACTGCGTGCTGCAGGATTTTTTTTTATGTGGTGCACACTGACCACACAGACCCATTCTCTCGTGTGGGCCTACCAGCTTTCCCCTGCTTGATTTGAAGCCGCTAGAATTTACGCGTTTAAATATGTCCGAAACAGCGGCGCGTAAGACGTATGTATATGACCGAAACAGTCAAAGGGTTATAGGAGGGGTTTGGGATATTGGCTCTTTGAACGGACATCTAAACTGTCATATCTGAGAGCATCTGCAGAGACAGTGATTATGTATGAATGATGGTGAAAATGTTGAACGATAATTAAAGATTTTTCTCTTTTTGGGTTTTCTTTCTGTTTGGGTTTTTCTTTCTTTTTGGACCACCTTGCCTCGGTGGGAAATGGCTGGGGCGCTTTAAATGTCACATATGTGATATGTGATGTGTAATGTCACCATGGTTGTTTAATATATTTATAGATGGGGTTGTAAAAGAAGTAAATGCTAGGGTGTTCGGGAGAGGGGTGGGATTAAATTATGGGGAATCAAATTCAAAATGGGAATTGACACAGTTACTTTTTGCTGATGATACTGTGCTTATGGGAGATTCTAAAGAAAAATTGCAAAGGTTAGTGGATGAGTTTGAGAATGTGTGTAAAGGTAGAAAGTTGAAAGTGAACATAGAAAAGAGTAAGATGATGAGGGTATCAAATGATTTAGATAAAGAAAAATTGGATATCAAATTGGGGAGGAGGAGTATGGAAGAAGTGAATGTTTTCAGATACTTGGGAGTTGACGTGTCGGCGGATGGATTTATGAAGGATGAGGTTAATCATAGAATTGATGAGGGAAAAAAGGTGAGTGGTGCGTTGAGGTATATGTGGAGTCAAAAAACGTTATCTATGGAGGCAAAGAAGGGAATGTATGAAAGTATAGTAGTACCAACACTCTTATATGGATGTGAAGCTTGGGTGGTAATTGCAGCAGCGAGGAGACGGTTGGAGGCAGTGGAGATGTCCTGTCTAAGGGCAATGTGTGGTGTAAATATTATGCAGAAAATTCGGAGTGTGGAAATTAGGAGAAGGTGTGGAGTTAATAAAAGCATTAGTCAGAGGGCAGAAGAGGGGTTGTTGAGGTGGTTTGGTCATTTAGAGAGAATGGATCAGAGTAGAATGACATGGAAAGCATATAAATCTATAGGGGAAGGAAAGAGGGGTAGGAGTTGTCTTCGAAAGGGTTGGAAAGAGGGGATAAAGGAGGTTTTGTTGGTGAGGGGCTTGGACTTCCAGCAAGCGTGCATGAGCGTGTTAGATAGGAGTGAATGGAGATGAATGATACTTGGGACCTGACGATCTGTTGGAGTGTGAGCAGGGTAATATTTAGTGAAGGGATTCAAGGAAACCGGTTATTTTCATATAGTCGGACTTGAGTCCTGGAAATGGGAAGTACAATGCCTGCACTTTAAAGGAGTGGTTTGGGATATTGGCAGTTTGGAGGGATATGTTGTGTATCTTTATACGTATATGCTTCTAAACTGTTGTATTCTGAGCACCTCTGCAAAAGCAGTGATAATGTGTGAGTGTGGTGAAAGTGTTGAATGATGATGAAAGTATTTTCTTTTTGGGGATTTTCTTTCTTTTTTGGGTCACCCTGCCTCGGTGGGAGACGACCGACTTGTTGAAAAAAAAAAAAAAAGATATACAGCCTCTCCTCACTTAATGACAAGAGTTCCGTTCCTAAGACCACGTTGTTAAATGAGTTTGTCGCTAAGCAAGGAGCATCCTTTAATGGTAGTGGGTTTGTGTTGACCATCTTTGATATTGTTTTAATGTCGCATTTGCACCATTTATAACATTTTCGGTATATTTTTAAATGTTTATGCAGTAGTGTACTGTATATTATAATAAACAGAATAAAGGAAATCAGCTCTAATATACATTATTTAGGTATGCATACTGGTCAAAGAGCCCATTGTAAATCTGAGTCATAGGTAAACAAGTACGTCGCTAAGTGAGGAGATGCTGTATAGACATTTTAATTAATTCTAGGTAGTAGGCTGGTAGACGGCAACTTCCCAGGGAGGTACTACTGTCCTGCCAAGTGAGTGTAAAACAGAAGCCTGTGATTGTTTTACATGACTGTAGGATTGTTGGTGTTTTTTTTTCTGTATCATAAACATGCAAGATTTCTGGTACGTCTTGGTACTTCTACTTACACTTAGGTCACACTAAACATGCATGTACAGTGGTACCTCGAGTTATGAACTTAATTAATTCCAGAGGGCTGTTCGAGTGCCGATACTGAACAAATTTGTTCCCATAAGGAATAGTGTAAATTAGATTAGTCCGTTTCAGACCACCAAAAATACACTTAAAAAAGCACTTACAAAAATACACTTGCATAATTGTTCGAGTTGGAATCTGTTCTAAAGTCGAGGTACTACTGTACAAGCACATATATACACACCCCTCAGGGTTTTCTTCTATTTTTTTACTAGTTCTTGTTCTTGTTTATTTCCTCTTATCTCCATGGAGAAGTAGAACAGAATTCTTCCTCCAAAATTAAATTAATATTAAAATTCTTTATTTCTCTGTTATTACAATGTGGGATTTACATATAAAACATTATTGAGTATTATAAAATACAGTGGACCCTCGCATACCGTTGGCATCACATAACGTTAAATCCGCATACCGATACATTTTATCGCTAAAATTTTGCCTCGCATACTGCTAAAAAACTCGCTCAACGCTATTGGTCCGAGATGCGTCTAATGTGCGGCCTGAGCCAGCCTCACATGTTCCGCCGGTGGCATTGTTTACCAGCCAGCCTCCATGGTAACATCCAAGCATACAGTCGGAACATCTCATATTATTACAGCGTTTTTGGTGATTTCATCTGCAAAATAAGTGACCATGGGCCCCAAGAAAGCTTCTAGTGCCAACCCTACAGGAATAAGGGTAAGAATTACTATAGAGATGAAGAAAGAGATCATTGCTAAGTATGAAAGTGGAGTACATGTCTCCGAGCTGGCCAGGTTGTAAAGTAAACCCCAATCAACCATCGCTACTATTGTGTCCAAGAAAACGGCAATCAAGGAAGCTGTTCTTGCCGAAGGTGCAACTGTGTTTTCGAAACAGAGATCGCAAGTGATAGAAGATGTTGAGAGACTCTTATTGGTGTGGATAAACGAAAAACATAGCAGGAGATAGCATCTCTCAAGCGATCATAAGTGAAAAGGCTAGGAAGATGCATCAGGATTTAATTAGAAAAATGCCTGCAACTAGTGATGATGTGAGTGAATTTAAGGCCAGCAAAGGTTGGTTTGAGAGATTTAAGAAGTGTAGTGGCAAAAATAGTGTGATAAGGCATGGTGAGGCTGCCAGTTCGGACCACAAAGCAGCTGAAAAATATGTGCAGGAATTCAAGGAGTACATAGACAGTGAAGGACTGAAACCTGATCAAGTGTTTAATTGTGACGAAACAGGCCTGTTATGGAAGAAAATGCCAAGCAGGACCTACATTACTCAGGAGGAAAAGGCACTCCTAGGACATAAGACTATGAAAGACAGGCTTACTCTTCTCATGTGTTCCAATGCTAGTGGTTATTGCAAAGTGAAGCCTTTATTAGTGTATCTCTCTGAAACTCCCAGAGCATTCAGGCAAAAGAATGTCCTCAAGGAGAATTTTTGTGTGCTGTGGAGGGCAAACAGAAAGGCATGGGTCACTAGGGACTTTTTCTATGACTGATTACACCAAGCATTTGCCCCCAATGTGAAAAATTACCTAACTGAAAAGAAATTAGACCTTAAGTGCTTCCTGGTGTTAGACAATGCCCCTGGTCATCCTACAGACTTGGCAGAGCGACTTTGTGGGGACAAGAGCTTCATTCAGGTCAAGTTTTCGCCTCCTAATACCACTCCTCTCCTGCAGCCCATGGACCAGCAGGTTATTGCAAACTTCAAAAAACTGTACACAAAAACTCTGTTTGAAAGGTGCTTTGTAGTGACCTCAGAAACTCAATTGACTATAAGAGAGTTTTGGAGAGAGCACTTTAATATCCTCAATTGTGTAAACCTTATAGGTAAGGCTTGGGAGGGAGTGACTAAGAAGACCTTGAACTCTGCTTGGAAGAAACTGTGGCCAGAATGTGTAGACAAAAGGG